AGGAACATCCATCTGTTGCAAGGACGTCAATTCTTGTCCCTCTGGAACAAAAACTATATCTTCAATGTTGTGAAGTCAATTCAAAGATTCTGTCTTAACTGTGCTTGCTGGGGCTACTGGGAATTGTAGTTCAGCAACATCTTGAAGGTAACAGATTCCTTACTTCTGTTGTAATACAATATAGAACTGGGTAAAAGTTCAACACTCACAAACGACAGTAACGTAGAATAAAGAAAACTAGGAAAATTCATGCTAGTTGCTACATGTTAAAAGAATTAATATTTCATATTAAGTCAGTCAAGGATAAATAATACACTCATTGTTGCTTTGGTAATCTAGAAGCCAGTGGGAGCCAGAGATTATAAACACCTTCAACAAACACTGATAATCTTGCAACTGGTTAGTGTTGTTGTTTATTGGTCTATTTCATGTCAGCTGCAGTTATTTAAAGATTTTTAGCAGACTGGAAAAACTGGCTAAATACAAATAAAACATTTGGCCTGTCTCCCAGTAAATAAAAAGATGTGCAATGGATGTGTTTTAGATTAAAGAAAGAAAAAAAAGTATAAAAAAACAAGAAGTAAAATATATTATCATTCCCAGGGTTACATGCATATGCAGGGTAAGTCATGTTTTATTAAACTTTGTTCTGTCTATCCAGCTATAAATATCTCAGTATCAGCCACAGGGATGGTTCAACCATATTGGAAAAACCTGCTGAGTGAGTTTGGCTTCAGTCCCTCAGGAAAATCACCCTAAATACCTCTTAGATATATCATTTTCATCCACCAGTTTACTTAATTGTGCAGAATAGAAGAGGGATGACTTGGTGTCTTACATTCCCTCTCTCCTCCTGTTATGTAGCTTAATGAGTTGAAGTTACCAAGGGCCATTTTCTTTCAGGTTGACCGTGCCACTCCCAGTGTTGTTTCCAACGGATATAGATATATACATAATGTGAATGCTGCTTGGTGTTCCTGTCTTTCTCTTCCTGTTTTTATTTCCTTTTATCCCATTTTTACCAGTTTACTGATTTTTTTTATAAATAAATATCAAGCTCTTTTTTTTTAATCTACTGAGCACTGTGTGCATTTGCTCTAATCTGAATGTACTAACTAACTGGGAAGGTGCTCAGTAAAGTTACACTGGAAATTACCTACTGTTATTGTCTAAATGGAATAAGCAAAATATGTAATTTCAAGTCAGAAACAGGATGTTTTTGCAAAATTCTAACCTAAGATTGGAATAATTTTGCATATACTTTTCTGGGAACAAGAAATTATTTGAAACAGGTTGTACATTCCTGATCCAGATGTGAATTGCCTCAGGTCTTTGGAAAGTATGGTAGGAACTGTATGCCAAAAAGAAGCAAGGGAGGCCAGTACAAGGAATGCATAAAGCTAAAGCTAAAATAAATTCCAGGTACTCCTCATTTAATGACCACTTTTCAGTGACCATTTGAATTTGTGACATCACTGCATGAGTGGTAGTTTTGACTATTTCTCAAAGTTATTGATGCAGTGTCCCCTTGGTCACAGCTTACCACAAGCAAAGTCAATGGGAAAGCTGGCAGGAAGTCGGAAGTTATGAGGTCCTTGCTTAAGGATGTAAGCAGGAACTGCCATTATTAAGTAGCACTGTGATGTAACCTTGTGCTTTACAACTGCCTCACTTAGCAATGAAAATTCTGGTCCCATTTATCATAATTAACAGAGGACTACCTGTAAGCGCAATTAATATTAGGTCTGTCCAAAACAGCAGGAGGTTGGACTTGATGATCTCCAAGGTCCCTTCTAACTTTATTTTTATTATTATTATTATTATTATTATTATTATTATTATTATTATTATTATTATTATTATTATTATTACCACCACAATAATAATGGTGTGGCTCTTTATGATGCTATTTGTCTAGTTCCAGCTTGCTGCTGCTGCTGCTGATCTTGTTAACATGTTTTGCTTTGTTTGAGAGCTTCTTCTGCTCTTCCATTAGCCTAGGGGTGTCAAACTGTCAGCCCATGGGCCGGATGCATCATGGCGAAACCATGCTCATCCCATTGCCGGCACTGGCAAAAAAGTCGTGATACGTCACGACATGTCACGTGACATTGCGAGTTTGACACCCCTGTATTAGCCAGAAATGATATGAGAAGGAAGTCTGGTAATTGAAAATTCTGGGGAGCCCCTGAAATGCTACAAAATACAGCAATGCCAAACCTTTGCTCCTTTGAAGAAGAAAAAAAACCCTGTATTTATTTGTAAAAACAGTTTCAAAGGACTGTTCACTCTGAAGTTCCCATAACCCTGCTCCTCATATGTTTAATAAAATTCTCCTTTTGTTACATTAAAGATTACAATTCAGTGACATTTTGGAAAGGTTGCAGGGGACATTGGGGAGCAGGATCTGACGGTCCTGGTTAAAATCCTCAGATAGTTTGTAAGTAAGATATAGCTCCTTAATCTCAAAACTGGATCTATGAATTTGAACTTCAAATTCTTTGGGGAAGATCTCCTTCTACTTACATTTTGCATTTACACAAAATAGCAGTTTTACTGTTAGATGTTATTTTGGTTGTTTGTTGTTGTAAATACACACTTGACATTACACGCCCTTTTTCCTTCTGTTTCCTTCTGCCATCACTATGTATACATTAGGGGAACAACGTGCTTTACAGTGTCTGATTTAAAACTGCCAAACATGTGATTAATTTCCTGTAAATTGAGAATCTACATTCAGTCTGAAAAGCTACTGTGATGCCACATGTTGCTTGTATAATGATTTGAATCATTTCGTGAATCTCAAAATAACTACAGAATTGCATGCTAAGTGCATTTAAGAAAGAAGAGTCTTCATCTACTTCTATATGGTATTTTCTCTTGCTCCAAAGTACACAAGATTAAGGGCTATCAGAAAATGAGGATGTTGGAAAAAGTATCAGGAACCAAAATTGGCTAAAAAAAAAAAAAATCCTGTTTCAAAAGATATACTTCTGTTCCTTAAGTGTTTCCTTAAGCTACTTTTCCTTACAGTATGTATAAAATAAAAATCCCTATTTATAAAATAAATCCTGAGTATATTTCTACCTAAACCTGATTTTTTTTGCCAAACTTTATTCAGAAGAAAGAGTATTTAATATCTTAAGAAATATTCCACATGGAGAAATGATTGAAATCTTCTTAGCTCAATCTTTGGAAATTAATTCTGCTGTAGATATATTGTCCATAGACAATAGTGGCAAATATCTGAAGCTCGGGTGTAGGATGAGAGTGAAGGTTCATTCTCCAAGCTTGTGCATTGGTTTCTGAACGTTTTGTTACCAGATTAGGTAATATTTTCAGAGTTTGAAACTCCACTGAAGATGTTACTAGCCTGGTAACAAAACATTCAGAAAACAACCCACAAGCTCGGAGAAAGAACTTTCACCCTCATATTATCCATGTTTCACAAAAGTTATAATTATTGAAACATAAGAAAATGACTGCTCAAATCTGATCTAGGGGTCTTTGAGAAGCTCTGGCCTAATGTTCTCCAACCTTTTTTCACAGAAGGGCTGATCAAGGGAATGCTGCATTGAGGCTATTATCAGAAGGCATCTGAAATTCAGCCTTTCCAGAATGAAGGGACAACTAGGAGTGGCCAAGTTGAATGGCACAGGTTGAAGATATATTCTCTGCTCTGCAGCTGCTTTTCTAACACTTTCTCTAGAAATATCTACTTGTCTCTCTGCCTTTGCATGGTTAGCTAACAGACACCTTGGAAAAAATTCAGAGAAGAGCAATTAAGATGATCAAAGGCCTGGAGACTAAAACATATGAAGAACGGCTACAAGATTTGGGTTTGGCTAGTCTAAAGAAAAGAAGAAATAGGGGTGACGTGATAGCAGTATTTCAGTATTTGAGGGGCTGACACAAAGAAGAGGGGGTCAAATTATTCTCTAAGGCACCAGAGGGCAGGAGAAGAAACAATGAATGGAAACTAATCAAAGAGAAAAGCAACCTGGAATTAAGGAAAACCTTCCCAACGGTGAAACTTCCTAACAACTTCCTAACTTCCACAATTAACCAGTGGAACAGCTTGCCTTCAGAAATCATGGGCGCTCCATCACTGGAGGTTTTTAAGAAGAGACTGGACAGTCACATGTCTGAAATGGTATAGGTTCTCCTACTTCAGCAGGAGGCTGGACTAGAAGACCTCCAAGGTCCCTTCCAGATTCTATTCTATTCTATTCTATTCTATTCTATTCTATTCTATTCTATTCTATTCTATTCTATTCTATTCTATTCTATTCTAATATTTCTGGAAGACCCAAAAGACCATGTAAGGAACAGATCATCATGGAGAAAATCTATGTGATCACTAAAAGTTAACCCAGTCACCCAAGGGATGCAGATAATTAACCCTTTAATTACCTGCATCCCTTGCATGTCGGGATTGGGAATCTCTTGTATGGCTTGTGTGCAAGGATTTATGTATCTTTTGCTTATTTCCATTTCTGCTGTTGCCATTTTAGTTGCACATTGAGTAAAACCTATTATCTCATATGTCAATGCTGCAACAAATTGAACTGAAGCCATTTTGGGAGTATTTCTTGATTTTTCCATTGTAGTCAAAGGGAATGACTTGCCTGGCTTTTGAAAGGGAGGTGACTCTTTACCTCAGATCTTTGTGATGCAATCCATGACACCAAGAAAAGGGCTTCACCATATGCACACACATATCTGACCAAATGGATTGAATTCCAACAAAAGTATTTTCCTGTGCATAGTAATGCTCTCTACATATCATAGCAAAGAAAGAAGCAAACATTGCCTCTATCTGATGGGAGCATTACAAGCAATTTAAATTAGAAATAACCTAATTAGTCATCGGTACTCACAATAAATGACCAAGCCCCACCAGCTTAGAAAAAAGGCCACATTTTACAAAACCAGTACATTGGGAAAAAAAGAAGAAAAAGAAGAAAAAAGGAAAGGAAAGAAAAGAAAAGCATCCGTACCTTGATCTGGAGAGCTGATGATTGCATTTGCATTCCCAGACTTGGAAAATAACAGTTCTATAATTTGATAGTGCAGAACATTAGGCTCGGCAGAGATTGATGGAAATTGTCCAGTGATTTCATCAGAACCCCTGCAAGCATAATTCTCCTGATAGATTTCTGAAGTCCCAATGTTCAAAAGGCCATGAAAGTCACAAGTTGGATAATATACGCCAGGCCTTTGGCATCATCATCAAGGAGAACAAAGAAGCTGGAAGAATTAAACAAATTGCTGCTTGACTAAGGTGGCTTATGGTGATGGCCAGGTTTCTTTCTTCAACATATTTTTGTCTGTTCATTTCATGGAAGAGGGAAGTTATTTTTCTATATGGAAAGAATGGCATAGAAGTATTGAAATTCAACATTGCAGAACTATAATGAGGCAAACTGATGCCTTTGGCAGTGAGATTACAGGAAAAGACATTGAGCTTGATGAGCACACTACCCTTCTAAGTATAATCTGTCTCTTGGAAGAAGACACTGCATTGTTACTTTTGGAAAGATTGGCAGGCACTTTGACCACATCCTGGAAAGCATTAAAGACTGGAGGATTACCCTGGAGGATGTTTGCTGACTGAATTTAATTTTGTTGGTGATGGTTGACAGATTTTAAGCTTTCATTATATGATTATTATAATTAGCAATAATTACAGTTAATATTATTGGTCATTAAATATCTTCATGCTATTGATAGAGATGTCTTACATATCTTTTAACATAGACATTTTGATGTTGTATGATCACAGTACTATAGATATTTTAATTTCATTCATTCATGTGTATGAACAGGGTTGGGAACACAATCACACACACACACGCATATACCCATATGTAATAAACACATTTACAAAGATTGAACTGTTGGACTGTAGACAACTTGAGAGATTTTGAAGTTATGTTGTAAAATTTGTGGTACTCAACCAATTTGATGGCCCAGAAGAGCACATATATCTAAAAACATTCAAAATGTTCCGTGACATTAGAATCTGAACGGAATAATATAGCAAGTGCTTTGAATTATTACAGCAGCTTCAACTGAAAGCACATGAAATAAAAACTTTGACCTAGTACTGATCAGCAAACTGCAAACCATGTTCCACTCCAGGAAAACTTAGTTGAATGATGAAGGAAGAAGTAGGTCAGCTGAGGGTAGAGAAAAGGTATGCATCAATCTTATTTTTACTATACGCCTCAATGAGTTGCCTTCAGCAGATGTGCTCGTCAGAATTCTCAAATGTAATGAATACATTTGTGTTTTGTAATGTAATTGCTTAATATTTAATAAAGCTATGTCCCATTTTTACTACCTCATTCCCCTCTTGCTTTTTAGGATGTATCTTCCTTGGCATCCGAATGACTTTCCTGATATTTCATTTACAAAGCAACACAAATTCATTTTACATAGGAAAAAATTTTGAGGATATAAAAGAAGTTGAAAAAACTCCCAATCAATTATAATAAAAGAAGCATTTTTTTAGTTAAACAAGCTCTCAGCAAATACATACAAAATAAGATCACCTGGGTATAATTTGCAGCAAACTTATGCTCAAAGATCAAAACCATACAAATATCTTTTTTGTAATCATGAGACAAATGCACCATCCGTGTACCAAATTAGACATGACTGAAAGGCTTGTTACAGAACAATTACATTCCATGATTAGAAATAATTATATTATCATAATTTAAATCTGCTTCTGGAAAGGATATTTACTCACATGATTTATGGCACAGGAAAACAAAAGACAGCTTGATTGAAGAAAGAGCTCCTGCCTATATCTCTTCAGAAAGATGATCTCATTGGAGTCTGGCCCAAGAAATTAGAGACAGTGATAAACAATAGGTAGCTATTATTCCAAACCCTTCTCTGCAACCTCATCTAAAATCTTAGTGGTCTTTCTGTGGAAGTGTTTTTACCATGTGCCAGAATACATGCTGAGTATATTCCCATAAATGCTTTTGTCAATTGTTTCTCTACACAAGCATGCAGATGTTTGGGGGCTGAAAAAGGTCTCTAGCTTCAACTGTGGTGCCTTCCTGATCAACCACCTGCTGCCTTTCTAATTCTCCAGGTCGCAACCAGAGTGAAAGCTGGTAGCAGTTTTTCACTTCATAAATATTTTATACTGATAAAAAGTGGTACGCATATTTTTCCAGACATAAGTCTTTTTTGAATTCTGTGCAGTTTATCACCATAAAAGTGAGTCTAGGGCTCAGCCAAAATGTGTAATACAGCTTTCATTCATTTAGCTGTATGAATGTATGCGCCAAAGGAGTTTTCAGAAACAAAGCTGTTCTCCTGGGATCACCACTGCCACCCTTCTAGCAACTGATCTGTGGAGTCTATGGCTGTTGGCGAAAGAAATGAGATCCAGATATTTCTAAATTAGTTTCACCACTTCCTTTGTTAAATGATGCCTCCAATTATAGCTGAGTGGAGATGTGGGATTATCCTTTTTAATACTTCTTATCATGATGAGATATTGCTTGGGATTTAGGAAGGACATGAGAGCTCTGGCGTAAATAGAATGGAGCTCTGTTTCCATCTGTCCTGTTTGCCATCGTTCGCTCCCTAGAGACTAAAATGGATGATCTGAAACGAGCTGGCCACGAACAAGGAGTGTATATTGGAGGTGGTGACCCTTGGAGAGCTGTATGCAACAAAATTTCATTTTGATGTATGCCGATTGGTGTATATTCAAAGTGACAATAAAGCTGTTGTTGTTATCATTATTATTAATTTTCCATAAGAGATGACTTGTCAGTGTTTGCAGTTGTTGAAAAATTGTTTTTTCCACATTTGACCAATATGTACAATTAGTATAACTGTGACTCCTAAAATAGGAGAATGGTTTTCTTGAACAGGATTGCAGTGATATAGGAAGAAGATATAGGACCAATTTTCACTTTAGTGATAACAGTAAAGGCATCTTTGAAGTTAGATCAGCACTCTAGTCGCTATCAAGTCAGAATCCTACAGGTGCTGATGGAATACCTACAGAAATATGGCAAGCAACAGAAGAGAAACCAATAAAACATAAAACCAAACAGTATCAACAAATCTAAAAAATAATGTAGTGGTCAACAGTTTGGAAGAGGTCAGTCTACATACTAATATCATAAAAAGGAGACTGACCCAAGTATGTAAATTATTGCGTAGCATCCTTAATTACGCTAGTAAAATAATGCTTAGGATCATTCAACATAAATGAAAGCCCAATGTGTTCAAGATGGTTTCAAGGAACAAGAATATTATTGCTGATACATACTAAATAATTGAGAAAGCACAAGAAGTCAATATGCACTTCATAAAGTATCAAAAGGCTTTTGATTGTGTTAACTTTAGCCAGCTGTGGAATGAATTTAGAAAAGTGGATTAACTATTTACTTGCAATAAAACTATATATATGTTAGAGTGGCAAAATCTGAACAACTTGGTGAAGCCATCTGGTACCAGGTTGGCTACGGAGTGAGACACAACTATATATTCTCTCCTTATTTATACCAATCTATATACTTTTGAGGGATGCTGGATTAGAAGATGAACCTGGTTTTAAAATGGGAGGAAGAAACATTACTAACTTACATTTTGCTGATGACCCTTCTCAGATAGATAAAAGTGCAAATGAGTTAGAATAATGTAAATCAAATAGCAGTGGAAAGAATGAAACTAGGTTTAAATATACAAAAGATGAAAGTAATGACCACAGGTCTAGCAACTAGATTTAGAATTGACAATAAAGTTATCATACTTCAAGGCAGAACACAGCCTTTCCCTACTGGTGCCTCTTCATATTGATATATAACTGCTACCACCAAGGCTGCTGGTTGAGAATTCTGGAACTGTATGTGGTGTTGTCCATGGGGAAAGGCTGCTTTATAAATGTTGACAGAAAAAAGGAAATGCTTTTTTTTAAAAAAAAATCTATAAAATCAAAGGTTTGGCTAGAACTGTGATCTCATATTTGCCTTCTCAGAATTCAATCATGGAAGAGTCATGGGCCAAACACACATTCTGAGGAGTAGTTGCAAGAAGTTTTACTTAGAATTTGGTAAATGGCAGCAGTGGCAGGCAAATGCACATGGAAATACGTGCACAGAGTAGCAAATGTATCTGGAATGAGTTCCAAATGGCCAGAATCCAAAGGCTGTGTGTGTGTGTGTGTGTGTGTCATCAACTGGTCTGATTTCAAAGAACAAATATTAGCCTTGATGGCACTGCCTTTGATGGCCATCTTCTTGAAGCTGCTGTGATTGCTGGACTAGATGAGTCCAATCCAGCAAGGCAGTGCTTATGAGGTTTTTTTTTTCAAATAACAGATTCGAGAAGCAAATTCAGATTTCTGACAAGCTGATCCTAGTGGAGAATGCTGGGCAACAATGACTCTTAAATAGATTCTGCATCAAATGCAGGCAACCAAAGGTGGGAAGATCTGTCTTTTGCTCTGTGCTAAGCCTTATGGGCTCTAGAATTAGAAGGAGGTACTGGATCCAACCTCTCATATTCTGCTGCCTCCTGATGACTGAAATGCTCCTTGATCATGTCAGTCTCTGATGTCTGATTGCTTGGCTCTCCTTGAGGCTAATATTCATCCTGAGCAATTTCCTCTATTTCATATTATTCTGAGTCTGAGCGGGCCATCACAGGTCATGGCTCAAATCTCTTCAGAATATGTCAGGTGTGAAAGACCAGGACCACATGTGAATTTCCAATTAAACAAATTTATTGCTCATGCCTCTGCACAAGAATATTCTCAACTAACTGTTAGCATCTGCTAAAAGTTAGATAAGTGTCAACAGAATTCACGGTGGATTCGACTTAGTACATTTGCTACAGCAGGATTCTAGGCTGATCCTTCTTTTGACCCACTCTTGGTTCTGCTTCTCTTACAAAATGCCTTGAATTTGAACTATCTTCCCACTACCACAAAAAAGAATGTTTGAGAGCCATGTTGGTGTACTAGCTAAAGGCACTAGGCTAGAAACCAGGAGACCATGATTTTTAGTCTTGTCTTAAGCATAAAGTAGGAGGAAAAGCTCAGTTTTAAAGAAAATCAACTCTGACTATCCTTTGGAAGGACAGCTATTGAAGCTGAAGCTCAAATACTTTGGCTACCAAAAGAAGAAGAGAGGACTCATTAGAAAAGACCTTGATGTTGGGAAAGAATGAAGGCAAAAGGAGAAGGGGATGGCACAGGATGAGATGGTTAGTGTTATCAATGCAGTGGGGCATGTGTTTAGAGCAGACTCAGGGAGATAGTGGAAGATAGGGGAGCCTGGGGTGCTATAGGGGTGACATAGTGACTGAACAACAACAACAATATCAAAAAGAGGAAAAGCAAGATGACATCAAAAAGAGGAAAAGCAAGATGACTTGGGTCAGTCATTCTTTCTCTCTTAATCTTAGAAAGAAGGCAATGACAAACCACTTCCAAAAATCTCACCAAGAAAATTTGTCCAGACAATTCCCAGAGTCAAAACTTGCTCAACAGCACTAAAAAAAGAAGAATGTTGTCCCTCAGAGGACAAAGATGAGCAAGCAGAGATCATAAGTTATTTGAGAAGCAATAATAACTTACTAGAAGGAGATCTTCAGTAGATAACCTGAAACAGCAAAGGCAATCTCATCTAGATATAATGGTAATTTTTCACTGAACCCTTAAAATCATTGCAAGTGAATTTGGCAAGAGTAAGTCTTGTTGGATTACTTTTATTTCAAATTAATTTAACAGGGCAATTCCTTAGTAATGTTGCGTATATGCACAATATATCTTGACTTTAGCAAAACATTTGACAAAGCATAATTTGCTGAGTAGCAAGCTAGTTAAGAATGGGCTGGCTGGCATGTCTATTAAGTGGATTAGACTGGATGGAAAATCATACTTAAAATGTGGTTCCCCATTTATGCTGTCTCTTTTTCATTTTGTGGATACAATTTTCTTTCTTCCTCCATTTGTCATGTAAATTGTTACCTTGCTGTTCATAGTATGAAAGCCTTCTTTTCTTGTCTTCATCTTGCCTTTACAACCAGCATCCCCTTTCTAAAAACTCCATGTCACTTATCACTGTTCATGTTAGCTTCCTCCATGTTTATGTTCTACACTGTTTTCTACAAGTTGTCCATAAAAATACAGCCTTTTTTCCAATGTTGTTATTGCATTGAATAATACCTGTGCAGATATTTTAATCCCACAACAGCACTTGCCATAAAAATGGAACTTGTTAAATGAATGCACTTACCTTTTGGTGCATCACAGAAACCCATAAATTGATTCAGATATAGACTGAATCCTTTGCAATGGCTTAAGTTTAAGCTGTCTGCTTTATGTAAGTTTGAAAACATTGTTTCCTATAGGTCATTTCCAGTTCTAAGTTAGAGGCCACAATCTAGGTCCATTAATCTTTTTTCAAAATTACCTCTTTAAAAACTCATTACACTCCATACAATTTGTGAGAAGCAATTTCTCTTTCAGCTAATTTCAATCAATAACATGTCCTTTTTATAAGAAACACCACCACCCCGTCCTGTACTTTGGAGTGGACAATTGCCAGTCTGGTAGTCAAGAAATCATCATTAAATTTCATATCATCACTGGTAATTTCGGCTCTTGTCCAGCAGAAAGGGAATGGTGTGGGACATTTTGTTCAAATCAGAAATGATGCACAGATAAAAGATTAAAGTTATCAGAAGGATTCAAGCAGAAACACTTGCCCAGCAAAAGTTTGGATGATTGTGAGCAAGATTAGCAGGACCAGGAGCTTGTTCACAGCACTGAATGTAAAGATTAAGTATGGTCTTATTTGCTT